AGTGATATGGTTCAGACTTTTGATTTTGTGCAATGTGGTGGACTTAAGATATTCTTAAACCCTACTGTAAAACATTAAACAAACAAAAAAATACCCCAAGCAAATTAATTGACAAGTCTGAAAAAAAAAAAAAGGGAAAAAAATACTATATGGTGCCAGCAGAGAACCTTTTGCAAAAATTGAGGTAGATAAGCAAAGGTAGAAGTGACCACACACAATACGTCCACGTTCAGAGTGGAGTGTGCATTGGATATCTTACAGGTTAGAGTGCTTGAGGAGATCATCACTCTGCATATAACCAGGAGTTATATTCTCTGGCCCTGTGAACAATGGTGAAATCTTAGAAAACCCATTCCCTAGAGGCAGGTTTAATATGTAGAACAGAGATGTAAATTTGAGCAAACACAAGCGCATGCACACACGCGCGCACCTCTTGAGAAATATTTTGAGATTTCAAGGTTCATAACTAGTAAACCTGGATCTTGGGTCTAAATCTATTTGTTTTAGGGGGAAAATCTGACAGAAGCCAAAATTTCTTTAGCACAAATGACCTGCAACGTAGGCACCACAGAATTCATACACACAATTCTACCACTTATGAGGGGCTTCCAAGGGTTTGTGGAAAAAATAAAGTTAAAAGACAATGAAAACTTCCTATGAATTTTCTGAAGCCCCCTTGTATAATCCGCAGGCACTTTATAAGCATTTGACGTGCATGCGTTCCTTAAAACTGTACAATTCTTCAGCGGATTTCATTCTTCCTCCTTTATGTATCAGTCCCACGACAAGATGCATCAACACAGTGGCTGCGGGAATGGGCTCAAACGTTACGAGCTGAAAGGACGGACAAGCCTGGGCGGTGCTTTGTTCTACAGCATATAGGATTGCCATGAGTCAGAAATAACTCGATGGCACCGAATAAATAATTTGTCTCAATTAGCTCAATAGGAATGAGTTTGGTTTGTGATTTTTCTTTGTAAATATTATCCCTGCTATACAGATACAGAATGATTATATCAACTAGCCAAGGTTAATACAACTAATGGATGCCGAAGGTTTAATGGAAACCTGAGGAATGTCTAAGAGTCCATCAAAAATTGCTGATATGCCTAACAAAGGCCTATCACTTAGTAAACTGATATCGGCTGGAAGAGTCCCTGAAATGGTTGCCCTAAGTTAAACTTTGAGCTTAGAACTGAAGAAACTCCTAGAAGTCACATTTAGTCAAGTGACAGATTGGACTACAAAACAGACCGCTGTCCATCTAAGTTTTCTCCTCTTAAGCAAGCAACTACATGGGACAAACAAGTCACATGTCCCCCAAAGCAACGATGAGAAGACAAAGGAGGACAAGGAAACCTGCTCCAAAAGGCATGAAACACAGACTGGAAATGAGAAGGTGACACACCAAGAGCTGTGACCAAATTACAGAAAGAAGATGTCTATAATTTGTCAAATTGAACCCTAATGTGCTATGTAAGCTTTCATCTAACACAATAAAATATACTTTAAAATATGGCCTGATAGATTTGGAAAAGAACCTTAGTTTCTAGTACCAAAAAAGTATAACTGAAATAAGGTAAACGAAAAAGTAAACCGCAGAGGATATCCAACTGAATTTTGATTTAACTTGCAAAAAAAAGAAAACTACCTAGGATATAACACAGGGACAGATATGTTCTTTTAAAGTTAAAAGATATGGACTATAAAGGTACATTCAGATGGCAATCTATAAAGACACACTATATGAAATGTAGAAGCAAATATTTAAAGAAATATTGATTCTCAATACATTGTTAAACAAAAAAGACAAAAATGAATTACAAAACAGAAAGTAGCTTTACAGCTAAAAATAACAAATGAACTTTCTCACCCCTTTTCCATGAGATCTAAGGAGGTGATTCATGAAAATAACTAGGGGGTGGGAGTGGGTGTGGGATCCTAGGATTTCCTTTCTCAATAGATGACAAATGCCCCCAACAAATATGCAGATGAAATATTTTCTTTTCTTTTAAAATATATTACTTACCTGGCACATAAGTAAGGAATAATCAGGACAAGAACTAATTGAAAGTGGGAACCAAGGAGATAGAATGGAGCCAATTTGCTCTTTAGAAGCATATTCCAAATGTAGGGAACTTAGCTTTGGTTTTTAAAGCCTTTCAGGGGAAGAGACAATTCTAAGGATAAAAGACTGCTTTGTGTTCAACGAAAAGGCTTAGTGTACGGGAGAACGAATGTGGACAGATTCCCTCCGTCACCACCAAGGGCCTGTACAGACAACTGCCTGTCTTATGTTACCTTGGTGTTGGGGGAGGTAATCTCCTCTGAAAATACCCTTGTCGGCTCTCCAGGTGTTTAGTCCAAATCTGCCTTACTTTCAGCCAAGAATGTCATTTAAATCAGTCCTGGCTTGGTAGTGCCCCTTGGGCACCTGGCAGAAACAAATACAAACCATTTTAGAGAAATCTATCTCTAACCCAGACCTCAAAGAATTTCCTCTCTCAGAAACTGATAGATAAAAGGAGGGAAGTAGGAGGCAAAAATAAACTAAGCAAATCAATTAAAAGGGCACATGAACTGATATCTCTTTTTAAAAATAAATAAATACTGATCTGATAGTTGAAAACCCTTCCTTGGTGGTGCCTCAGAACTCCTGACCTCTGAGACACGAATCATGTTCGGACACTATGTGACAGTAAGGTTTGCCTTTCTTCCCTGAAGGAGGAGGCGGGTGTAAAGGGGCACCACAGGCATGTTTTCAGGGAGATGAGCTTCAGTAAAAAGAACTCTTGAAAGTTGAGGACCTGGAAATATAAAATTCTGTGAATCCATTTTGAAGTCCACTGGGCTAATAGACTAAGTGTCAAAGGTAAATGAAGTACCTCAATACACAATAAGAGAGTGATCACAAGCGGCCAGGCCACATAGTCTTACTTATTGTTAATGGTCCCAGTACCGAGAAAACTCCCAAAGCTTGTCAATGATATTGGCTTTTCATTGACATGTCAGAAAATTATTGTCAATAGGAGAAAATAACATGTCTCCAATTCTTGCAACTTTGAGATGGTTTGCTTATTTTTGGAAGATAGAAATTTAATGTATGCCGAAAACAAATGGATCTACTTTTTATTAAAGGATAAATAATATGAAGAAATTGGGGGCTTGGCAAAATTATGAGATCCCATTTTTAGATCCCTTTTCAGATTCTTCAATTCTTTAACTTATTTCCAATTCTCTTCTAACTCACTGTCACTGAGTCAATTTCAACTCTTGGGAACACAATAGGACAGGGTAGAACTGTCCCAACCAGTTCCAAGGTGCTAACTCCTAACAGGAGTGGAAAACCTCATCTTTCTCCCTAAGAGTAGCTGGTGGTTTTGAACTGCTGACCTTTCAGTTAGCTGCCCAACTCATAAGGCACTGAACTATCATGGTTCTGTTTTTCATAAACTACTACAGTGATGCCTCCATTCCCACTACTGTCCCCAGACACCTACATTTTAACACTTTCACAGGCATACATTGCCCAACCAACATTTTCAGTTTCTCAGAGTTTCCAGAAAGTCACTATCTCAATTGTATTATGTGCTAACACCTACTGGGGACATGTGTAGCCAAAAATCTGAAGTGGGCCTCACCTCACCAATGCTGCCAAACAGAGTCCACTGGGACACGTGTGTCTCACATGTACACGACCTCAAAAAACTTTTTTCAGGGGAGGTGGAAGGGAGGGGGAAGGGAAAAAAGGAAAATGAGCTGATTCTGGGAACCCAAGAGGAAAGCGAATTTTGGGAATGACGGCAACAAATGTATAGATGTGCTTTACACAATTGATCTATGTATTGTGATGAATTGTATGAGCCCCAATAAATTGATAAAAAAAAAAACCAAAACTTTTTTCTTCTTAAAAAAGGGGGAATTAAAACAAAAAACATGCATGAGGTGCACACACACATACACACACCCAACAAGCAGAAGTATAAGATTTGAAAAACACATCACCTAACTGAAGCCAAACTTAAATATGAAAGCAACTGGCCAGGGAGACTATCCGTAAGTGCACTGTAACTGACCAACAGGGAATGCCGTACATTCCTTGGAACACGTTTTAGGAAATATGTGAAGTGTAAAGATAGAAATAATTGTGAACTTGTGTGGTGCATGTGTGTTTAAAGCTAAAAGATTTTATCTAGGTCATAGGTTCCAAACTTACTTGGCCTTATTGCCCTCTTTTCAGAAGAAAAATTACTCAGCATTCCCACGGCCATTACAAACCTTTGTACTGCAGCGTATAATCCAGGACAAAGTGTAGGTTTTTGCAGAGCCCTGGACAGATTCAGTGCCCCATGAGTGGGAGATATCACCCACTTAGGGAAACAATGATTTAGGTGATGAGATTTAGAATGGGATTTTCCCGTGTTTTTTTGAATCTTGTGATTTTTCTCCAGTAAAGTGTACCAATAAGGTATTTCTTAAAAAGGACAATTAAACCACAAAGTGGTCAGGGAAAAGCCTCATGTTTTTATCCCTCCACCGGGATGGAGAAAGCCAGGGAAGCATGAGGACATGTAATGGGTGAGAAAGTGTGTACGTTGCAACAACCAGTGAAAACAAAGAGTCATAGGAACAGAGGGTAACTGGTTACAGCAAATTCAAATAAGTGGCAAAAGAGTTAAGAGTAAGAATAATAAAAAAAGAAAATGTACATTTCCTCGTCTTTGGCATAGTAAGTTCTGTAATTCTGTGGAGAACATTTCCCCTAGTTTTTTCCCCTATTGCATTTGTCTAAAGCAGTTAGGTAATCTATTAGCATTTAGATAACATAAAAACCTCTAAATGGATGAAATTTATACATATCATATTCTCTAAGATTTTCATCAGTTAAATGTCAAAGTATAAATAATTGTGAAAATTTGTGTAAAAATGTGTATACCACGCATGCGCCTGTACTTTACTGGCCACAACAACAGAACTATGAGAAGATTACTTTCACCTACCTGGCAGCTGTGATCAGTATCCAATCCATCCCAGAGACTCATGAACTGAGCTTTCATCATGGCTGTAGCTTCATGATCAGAACTTGAACGATTCCGCAGGAAAGAATCTACAAGGCGCAAAAAAAGAGTTAACCTAAGAAATGAAAAAGGAACTGTTTTTAAATGATCTCAAATCATTTAAACAAACATAGAAACTATTAAAAATTACAAGGGAACAGACTTAATTATGTTTCCTCAGGAGATTATACTGATATCCTGAAATATTTTGAGTAAATGATTCAGTAAGCTAAATTACAATTTGTTATCTTGACTTCCCAAAATTACATTTATGTCACCATAGGTAAGAGAAATAAAATACTTGGTATTGAGAGACTGGAATATAATTACCTAAGCAGAGCTTTGGGGAAAGGATGTGAGACTAGGAGTTTCGCTGCACAACCCAGGGATATTCACAGCATACTGGGATGCTGGGTTCTCTGCTTGATTAATACCAAACCCCAAACTCACTGCCATCGAGCCGATTCTGACTCACGGAGACCCTGCCAAGCAGAGTAGAATAGCTCCCTGTGAGTTTCCAAGACTGTCCGTGTTTACAGGAGAAGGCCTCATTTTTCTCCCACAGAACAGCTGGTGGTTTCGAACTACTGTCCTTCTCATGAGGAGCCACTATGCCACCAAGGCTTGCTTTATTAATAGGGCTGATTAATTAAAATTAAATGTTTATCTAAATACCAACTTTAAAAATGATTTTTTAAAGTGATCACATAGAAAACATACCTATTTCATCTATAAAGATAATAGATGGCTGTAACTTCATAGCAAGGGAGAAAACAGCAGCAGCCAATTTCTGAGATTCCCCATACCACTTATCAGTCAGTGTTGAAGGCTGAAGGTTAATAAATCGACAGCCTGCCTCTTTGGCTGTCGCCTTGGCAATCAGTGTCTTGCCACAGCCAGGAGGCCCGTAGAGAAGAACACCTGGGAACAGACATGAACGTGGTGACATTATTTCCTTTAAGAGACTGAGCTGTTTGCTTTATTTGACAATCCACATAATCAATTCTGCCTAGCTTAACATGTTTCCTAATATTTGAGTGTGGTTTTATTAGTCTTTTTTAAAAGCATAAACTATAGAATAGTAAGAAAAATATATACAAGTAATGCCCTACTTAAAACATAGTTGAAGTTTTTTGTTTGTCTTTTTTTTAGTTTCCATGAACCTTATTTTTCACTAGTACCTCAGTAGTAATACAGACTGCAAACAATGTTGTGGCACATAATTTACTGGTGTTGACATACTCATGCCAACCCCCAAAGAAAAATGTGTAAAATTTATAAAAACATTGATTATAAAAGGCATTAATAATAAAAAAATTTTAGGAGGATTCGACTTATATCAGAACCAACTTATGATAGAGGAACAGAACCCCATTTTAAGTAAAAATATTTTGGAAATCCAACACATATAATGAAGAAGAAAAACCATGGTTAATAGTTGTATTCATAAATTTGTAGAAAGGACGGTTCTACATTTTAATGATATGTACGTGGGAATTTATAGTTTTGTTACGCCTTTCCTTCCATGAGAAAAATCCAGTTCAATAAATACTATTATCCAAGCTTATACTATTCTATCAATGGTTGACAAAAATAATCGAATGCCCTTGACCTTCACAAGCTGTGTTAGGTTTATTGTGCCCACCTGGCCAATAGGAACAAGTGGAATTATTCAGGTCACAGTTTGATTGGAGAGCAAGGCTCTGCAAGGCCACCCACCTCTCTCTAGCTCCCTGATCAGACCAGTGTGCTACTGCTTTTGCTAGTTCTCTGCCTCAACCTGTGTGCTATACTACCTGTGGGCCCCGCCAATCCATGGATTGTGTAGCTGGAGCTTGAGGCTCCTTTGAGACTTGCTTCGCCACGCTGCTGGTGCATACATAACTTCAGGCTGGTGGATTCTGTCACCTTGCATTACTTGAGTTCAATAGATATTCCATCTGGGCCTGCTTAGCTAAGCTCCCCAGGTACTGACTGTTGCTGACCCACCCTGCTGTTCGCTGCCTGTGGGCAGACTCTGCCAGCCTTGCCTCAGAGAGGACTCCACTATCTGCTTCCTTGACTTTGGACCCAGCAATCCATGTGAGTTGAAGGAATTCCGATATATTAACTGTTCCACGAAAAAGTGAGTTGAACTGAGACCCTCTGTACTGCTGTGCGGACTAATTAGCTGTTATATCCCTATTTGCTGTATAAACCCATCCATTAAAAAAAACACACAACAAAAACAATATATATATAAAACCAAAGTGTCCTGGTTTTGTTTCTCGAGAGAACCCTGCCTAACACACAAGCTAATAGAGCATGCAGTTTGATTACCTAAAAGACCGCTTCAAACCACATTGTGGCAAAGTCTTTGCTTTTGCTCAAAAACTAAGTTTTGAAAAAAA